TTGCGGTATATGTGCTTGTGTGTGTGTGTGTGTGTGTGTGTGTGTGTGTGTGTGTGTGTGTGTGCGTGCGCGTGTGCGTGTGTGCACATGAATACCCTAAGCTTACACTCAGCAAGTCATCAACAGCTGTGGAAGCAGCAGCAGCAGTCACAGCAGTACTACCAGTTGATGAGGAGGGAGTCACTCCTCCAGCAGAGGCAGGTCCGGCACTTGCTGACCGAGTGAGAGAAATAATGTCACCAGTGTCTGCACCAGACACATGTGCACACACACACACACACACACACACACACACACACACACACACACACACGTATGCACGCACACACACACACACACGCATGCATGCACGCACACACACACACACACACACGCACACACAGATTTTCAATACGTGAACTGGTGAACTGAAACGAAGAAACGAACAGTGACATCATTGAGCGGAAGTGCTGACACTGCTGAGCACAGTGAACAGTATAAGTGCATCATGTCTACCACCACAAAACAACAAAACAACACTAGATGATGTCATAGTTAAACTCACCTTCCATTCTGGAACGCAAGTCAGTGTTTTCGGCTTGTAACACACCTGCAGTGATAAAGGCGCATACACACAGGCACACACACACACACACACCATCGGATCAAAGACCGAGTTGCTGCTGCTGTTGTTATTGTTGTCTTTGTTGAATTCTTTATTCTCACGATGGCACCGTCGCCAATAAGAGTTGTTGCTGCTGCTGTTGTTGTTATTGTTGTTGTTGTTGTTGTTGTTGTGCATGTAAACGGAGGAGGAATGAACAAGACGATGCAAATAAGGTCACCGATCATGCAGTTTTACGGAATCCAGAAAACAAGGAAATCCCAAAAAATAGTGACAGAGAGTGACAAGGACTACATTCAACATGATTGGCCACCGTATGAAGTTCTGGATAGGAGCCACAATAAACATCTCCAAAAGTCAGTCAGAAATCTGCCCTCAGCCGGCCAGCACCACGAACATGCAGCACTTTGATCAGACAAATTTGAATGCAACAGTTTGCCTTCAAGAAGGTGGGAGAGAGAGGGGGGAGGGGGAGTGTTGGCAAGAGAATTATTCTACAGTACCTTTCTGGGCCATCAGGGCACTGACAAATGTTTCCAAGTCCTGACGTGAGCAAGACTGCAAGCTCTGCTGTTTCATCTACAGCAACAGCAACGACAACAACCATGACAGGACACACACACACACACACACACACACACACACACACACACACACACACACACACACACACACACACACACACACACACACACACACTGTACTGTACTGTATTGACAGCTACCCTAACGGGTCACGCCGCCCTCCACCCAAGCATGGGTATGATGAGGGGCAGTGGCAACAAAAACAAAAAACAGCAAGCAGAGAGAGATAGCAGGAGAAAGACAGCGATAGTAGTACATCTGGTGTGCGACGTATAGAAAAGAGAGATGACAAGAGATACGCACAAAAAGGAAACAATAATTATTTGAACCTGTATTATTGCAGTTCCGAAACAATCAACCAGGTGATGGAGTGTGGGCACCCGAAGTCCCACCTGGACTCCACTGGAAGAACATTCCACGCAGGGATATCAGCGATAGGCCAAGCGCTGAAAAACAGCCATGAGGACACATCGTCTAGAAGTCCACCGCGCTCGAAGTGAAATTGCAGGATCAAACAATTTCCCACGCGTCGTCAGGCAGCGTAACTCTTCTCCCTTCATCACCATCCATCTCCAGCAACCGTCTCCACTCACAGCTCATGCCTCTGCCACCACTGTACTCCGGGCTTCGCAGTTTGAAACCATTCGGGGGTCAGCTACACCACCGTGAATGGAGAGACGAGGACGACAACGGTCTTGACAGAAAAGACACTGCCCTGGCGACCGCGTCGCGAAACCCTCGCCCAGCAAATTCAGAAACACGCCAGGGGCAACTCTGGTGGACCCAGAGCCACCCCGTGGCCTAAGACTAGTAAGAGGAACGACTGAAAACTCAGATAAAACGGAGCTACAAAAAGTGCAACCGTCCCCTTCAAGCACAGTTACACACACACACACACACACACACACACACACACACACACACACACACACACACACACACACACACACACACACACACACACGATATGGCACGCGTAATGCCACATTAAATAGCAAAAGCAAATGCATTTCTATAAAGATTGGAAAGTGCAATAATGTCCATACACCCAGAGAGGCACACACGTACACACACAAACACACACACACACACACACACACACACACACACATCAGATACCTGCTCTTCGACGGACATTTTGCCTTCAGCCGCTGAAGCCGACGATGAGAATAAATTTCCAAACAAGCCATTACGCTTCCCCTCCGGTACCTTAGTGACAACATCCAACTACAAAGACAGGGAAAATGTGTGTGTGTGTGTGTGTGTGTGTGTGTGTGTGTGTGTGTGTGTGTGTGTGTGTGTGTGTGTGTGCGTGCGTGCGTGTGTGCGTGAGAGAGAGAGAGAGAGACATGATTGAAAGAGTAAGAAAACAGTCAATCTTTTTGTCGGAGTGTGGAGATGATAGATACAGGCATAGCAAGCAGAAGCAAGTTCTGGCCAGCTAGTACCGAAGCGATGTCGCGACAATCACCATCTCTTCTTTGCCATTACACAACCACTCGAAGAACACGACAAGGCAGTTTCTGCATTGGCAAGCATTTAGCCAGCGAATGATTCCATCAAATTCCAATGGCAGGCAGTTCGTCCAACGGAATACTTCACCCGTTTAAACATTATAATTATTAGGGCTGAAACGATTATACCGAATAACCGAGTACTCGTTTGATAACTCTAACGATCGAGCAATCGTTTAGATTACCGATTACGATTATTTTGCGTTTCTAAATTTTTAATTTCTTATACGCGCAGTGCATGCAGCGCAGAGTACAGCACAGCCCAGCGCGAGTTCAAACATCGAGTACAGTCCCAGTG